GGGCTCACAAAATATATTCAACCGCATATAGTTGGCCCCGGCCTGGCCCTTACCCATACACGCACACAAGCAAACAATGCAAATGACAAATGGTGAGGAGATTTTTCTCATTTTGATTTGTCAATTAGTGTTCCGAATGCGGCAAAAAACAGGGGCATCATTCCATGCATTCATTGAATTGACAATGATGTTAGCGAGCGACTGTATGTTTGACCGCACTTGAATTATCTAGTTTCAGTCAATGTGGCTGCGGTCAATTGCCATGCGAATATCCGAAGTAATCTTTTTTGGATGCTGCAATTTCAAGTGAACGCTCAGCTGCTAAACCAATCCTTTTACAAGGACACATATTTATATAGGATGTAGACATTCCTTTTTTGTGTAATTCAAATGAAAATGGCTTGTATTTTTAATTAATTTTATGATAATTTAGAAATTTGCAATGGTTCTTCGACATGCAAATTAGCTGTCGATGTCGGCACCTTGACGATGCACCAGAGCTCTTCGTTCAATTATTCATAAAAGTTTCTTTTAATTTATTCATATTTTGATTGCAATGTCATATTTTCTTTAATATATATTTTATATATTGAAATCAATTGATGTGCGTATCATGCATTTGAAGTTGTCCTAAAACAGCTGAAGCACTTCGCAAGAGGAGGGAAACAAAATTGAGTCAACATCACTTAGTTTTTCTTCATTTATTTCGAATATGTTTTTCTGTGAATACAAAAAAAAAGCACAACTAAAACATATTACATGCTTATATGTACTAGTGTCTCGTGTTGGCCAAAACCGTTGCAGCTTGTCTGCACGAATCTTTCCGAAACTTGTTTGATTCCATGGACAGTATAAATACTCATGGCATTCTTTGCCATCAAGTTGAGTATCTCGAGACGTTGCTGTGCGCATGAAAAAAGGCGAACTCGGAATGAGACAAGAGAAAAAAAAGACACACACAACTAATGCATAATTGGTAAAAGTAAGCGCAAAAAATCTCACACTGTTCGGTGTGCATGCTCAACAGCATTTCAGCGAGCTAATAAAAAATTAATAAGTTAATAACCAGCATGGAATGATATAGCGATTCCCACTCCATTTCTGGCTCAATCTCGATTTACATGTACGAGAGAGAAAGAGAGAGCGAGAGAGTTCCTGTATCACAGTTTTTCGTCGTTGACGTGTGCAGTGTGCACTCCTCAACCAGAAAATAATACATTTTTTTTTCTCTCGTTCTCACTTTTTTTGTGTTGTACTCTTTGTAAATGTTATTTACATTTTCTCTCTCTCTCTCACTCTCTGTTCAACGAGAATTATTTCGCGCGGTAACTTGGGCACTTAAAACAAAAAAAAAACTAACGAGAGGTAGAAAGAAAAAAGGCAGCGACCAAGATGAAATTATCGCACATCAATGTCGTGTCGGACGAAAGCAAACCAAAGCTGCAGAAATATGATTTCAATTTACAACACTTAAGGCGACTATCAGGAGAAACATTTTTATGCGCCGCATAACAGATATCATTTATTTAGTTATTTTCTTCTTCTTCTTTTTCTTCTTTTTTTGTTATTTTTTCTTCTCTAATGTAAAATTTAATGCGAATGAATGAATGATGAAAAAAAATCAGCACACAAATTAGATTTTGCTCGGCAGAGACGAGTTGATTACACACATTTTATACTAAGTGCGGAAAAAAAACCAGTTTTTATTTATTTTTCATTCAATTAAGATTCTTTTGATATGTAAGACATGCCATGCGATTGATTTCGAACCAACGAGCAAATATTTATTATTAAAATAAATGTACATGAAATCTGTTTATTTATTTTTTCTCTTTTCGCTCACTTTTGCGCTATAAATACACCCAGTAATGCGGTCTAATGTGATTATGAACGCACTGACACGTTGCAACGGGCTCACTCACGTCATTTCATTTACAATCATTCTCTTTCTCTCTATATCTATCTCTTTGGATGGGTTTCTTTTGGGCTGGGCGAAAATGATACGTTTCATTAAAACTGACTTGATTGTTTGTGTGTGTATGCGTGTGCACGAATGAGCGCACTCTCTGTCCCTTCGTCGTTGTCGTTTGCTGCCAATTGATTTAAAGCGGCCGACACACATTCACCATTCACTTGCCCGCATTCACTATGGAATGACTTGCCGGACAAATGGATGCATACGAAAAAGCATATTATCACCGGGTCGAAGTGCCAACTAACCAAAGAAAAGAGAAGGAATGAAAAATCAACAACATAAAATATATTCAGCCGGCCTGTTTTGCTCATTTGGTTTCGTGCAAGTGGTAAAAATGCATCTCATTGTCAGCCACACCAAATGGATTCACGATTTGTGATTGTGAATGACCATAGTCAATTATAATTCAAAAAGATCAAAGCATTTGGAATTTTATTTAACCCACGTTTTTCCCTCTCGCTCGCTTGGTCATTCAGCCCGCCACGGATTATTATTAATGAAAATTGAATCCATGTGCGCGACAATTACGTGTGAACTGAAGCCAACACTTGTGCATTAGTTTTTGATGTTTTTATACAACGAATCACCGCTGAACGCACTTTTTCATCGACTACATTGCGGATTTTTCCCCTCTCCTGCAATCCAAGTCGGTATGGTTAGATTGTGTGTTTGCGTCCATTAATGCTTTTTAATAAAATGCGATTGTGAGGTTTTTGTTTTTTATTTTTAATTCGAACTGGTGGCGGGCTACTCCGTTTGGATGATGTGATTTTATAATTATCGGATATGGGTGATATTCGACAGTGGCTTTCTTCGTTGAACATATATATTTTAATTGATTCCTCATTTCATTCGATCACGGGCACTCACTTTGTCAGATGAATATTCATCGAAGGATACAATAACCGGTGGAATTGTTTTTATACAGACAAAAAACCTAGTCAGTCTAGTTACTCACTCATGGGACGAAATCATATGCGGATTACACGATTCAAATGGATTCGGTACGCTCATTCATTATTGACGATGATGATGATGACAAATTATTTGTGGACTTCTTCAAATTAATTCATTATGTACATGCGATGCGTGTTATGTGTGCGTGTGCGTGTGTGGCGAAAGACACTCACACCAAATCGCTTTTCGCTGCCACTTTCTTATTTATGATGCCTAGCGCCATGAGAACATTTCCCTTTTTTTTGTATCATGGTCCAGCAAACATAGTACTAATGTCATTACTTAAACACACAGGATATTTTACATGGCAAACATTTCATTGTTATTGACCAATTAATGGAAAACATCACCATCAAAGCACATACGTTTTCTTTTCCTTTTCTTTTCATTTTTTCTTCAATCGAAACGTAACAGTGATTTCTAACCAGATTCTCGCAAATTCTTCATGTTCGTTGTTTTTAGCAACAAAACTAACAAAAAAATACGGTTTCAATGAACATTTAGTAGAATGCAAACAGACCAAACATTAATTCAAATTTGGGTTTGATTAAACGAATTTTTCTTTTCAAATGAAATTCTGAATCGTTGCCTACTGATCAAATGAATTTGTACCTATCACTCAAAAGTGCCCGTCTGGAAAGTGTGAGCTATCTAGCTATTATATCTATGATAATCAGAATTTTAATTTGCAAACCATTTCTGGCTATGTTTATACTTCGTCGTTACGGAAATGAGTGACTATGATATAGTAGGTTTAAAATTGCGATGTGCACTAATAATGTAGTATACCCAGAGAAAACTGAGTTGATTTTTACGTTGCAAAATGTTTGAAAGTGTCAAATTCCAACACATGTTGAGTTTTTCGCAACAAATGTTTTTTTTCCATATTGACTCAAGTATTTGTCAAATTAAACACCAGCTCCCTTACATCGTGTCTAGTTTTCAAATAAGGTGCCAATTTTTATTAGACACGATGTAAGGGAGCTGCTGTTTAATTTGACAAATACTTGAGTCAATATGGAAAAAACATTTGTTGCGAAAAACTCAACATGTGTTGGAATTTGACACTTTCAAACATTTTGCAACGTAAAAATCAACTCAGTTTTCTCTGTGTACTACGGCCGAATATTTGTGTGAAGAAAATGTTTTTATTATCACTGGATACTGAGCGAAATTGCGTCAGCTGGCTTTGAAAAAAACCCAACACCAATAATTCCAAAAATAATTATGGCTCGTGCAATTTTTCTTTGGTCTTTTCAAAACATTTATTCATAAGGTGATTGCCCGTTGATGCAAGTGTTCAATCTAAACATCCCTTGAACTACGCATTTTCTGTTGTATGACGTTTTTAAGCAATATGTGAGCCATGCGCTCAAGTTTACTTGAACTTTTGTAGCCATTGAACCTCCTTCTTACGTAAAATGAAATATTTCAGCATGCGCTGAAGATTTTTAGACGCATATTTTCGATTTAAATAATACTTTTATTGTATCAGCGTTAAACTAAATATATTCAATTCATATATTTACGCATATACTCAAAATCTTCTACAAGACAGTGCAATTTGTCTTCGCATCTTCATTTATTTATAAATTTTTTTATTCATTTGCTCCCATGGACGCAGATAATGTTCATATCGAACATCTGTTTAAATACTAATTATTTTAATTAAAAGGAATTGTGTCCTCTGAAAAAAATGTGATAATACTTGTATAAAAGGGCTGAATCGAGTGCGAATAGTCAGTGAATTAAAACAATTCATGTGGCAAAAGCGTTGAAATGTTCCGTTTAATTTGTAGTCAATTGCTATTATTGCAGTTTTTAATTGCTCTCGCCAGTTGTGACTATCTGACTGTAAATACAAGAAGTGGACGAGTAAAAGGTGTGCGGCAAAAAACTTATTTAAATAAAAAATCGTACATATCATACAAAGGGATTCCGTACGCTCAAGCTCCAATTGGAAATTCAAGATTCAAAGTAATTGTTGCATTCAAATTGGCAACTATCCCCAGTTGTCTTCCATTGCTCAAGTTGTTTCAATTAATCTCGAATATCGTCACAGGAACCAGTTCCAGTCAAAGCATGGACTAAAACCATTATAACAACTGATAAATATAAAAATGCCTGTCCTAGATTGGCCCAATCATATTTTATGCAGCAAACCAATTTAACGTTCAGTGAAGATTGCCTCTACCTAAACATATACACACCAGGTACAATTTCTAATATGATACTGCCGATAATTGTTGGAAAAAATTAATTTATAATATGGATAGTTCTGCAAAGGGTTAAGGTAACTAAAAAACTGAACGTGATATTTTTCATCCATGGTGGAGCGTTCACTGAGGGTGATGGCAGCGATTTATACTATGGACCGGACTTTCTGATGGAAGACAATGTCGTTTTGGTTACAATCAACTATCGCTTGGGCCCATTTGGATTTGCCAATTTTGATAGATATGGCTACACTGGCAACATGGGTTTTAAAGATCAACGTGAAGCTTTGAAGTGGGTTAAAATGAATATTATTTACTTTGGTGGCGATCCCGATGCAATTTCTTTATTAGGAGAAAGTTCTGGTTATTTTCTTTTTCAATCGATAAAAATCGTAAGCCCAAATTTTCATGATTTAACAACACTATACTTTACAATACTATTTAGGTGCGGCTTCGGTACATTTGCATCTGTTAGGAGCATCATGTGAATACATAAATCGTGCTATCATGTTGAGTGGAAGTGCAGTCCATTACTGGGCGCATTACCAACCAAATAATCACCTCAATCTCTTGAGAGAAATATTCAAAGATGACTTGGGTGAGCAAACTAGTGACGAAGACGTATTCAACTTCATGATGAACGCTCCAATGGATGTTATTGTGGAAAAAACACCTCCGTTTGAAACGCCTAATGGATTGTTCGCATTGTTCTGGGCAGCCGTCATCGAAGGTGTGTTATTTTGATATTTTTTTTAAATTCCAAATTTGTATTCTCCATCAGAAATGAAGTTATCACTTTGTGGTAGCTATTTTATGAGAAATTTGAATTAATCCTAGTTTTATTTACACAACAACAGTTCTACATAATATATTTTTGTTAATCAGATGAAGATAAAGCCATCAAACCATTTTTAACTCGAAGACCGCATGACATCTATGCCACAAAAAGCTTGAGTCATCATTGTAAATGTGTCGAAGTAATGTTTGGTGTAACGAGTGCTGTAAGTCGATTATTTTCGTTGGAAACTTTGAAAATCTTGAACGAAAAAAAAAAACTTAAGCAAAAGGATAACAATATAACATTGTGTACAATATGTAGGAATTTGCAATAGTTACTGATCCGACGAATTTGTATGGATGGATTGAGCCAGTGAAAAGTCATGCTCTCATTGGATTACCATATCACGGACTCACTTTAACACCAAATGATGAGGTTATAGTTTCTTTTATTATATATACGAATTCCATGTTTCGTTTGAAATTCGAAGACAAATCATAAAATCTTCTCTAGGAATACCAAGCATTTCAAACTGAAATCTTTGATTATTACTTTGGTAAAGAGGAAATTGAAAAGACTACTGAACGATTGAATCAATACTTGCAAATGGGTTCCGACATAAATTTTATTGTTGCATTCTATGAAGCAATCGAATTGCATGCAGAAATATCACCAACATTTTGTTATCAGTGAGTGTTTCTCCATTAACTTTATTTTTCGAATTGTGTGCATAACTTCGAAAAAATTCGATAAGAAGAAGTAAAAAAAAAGTCATAAATAAAAATTAAGTTAATTTACAGCTTCAATATCAGCTTGAATACGAATGTCATAAAAGTTCCTAGACAACTGAATGTGGTTGAAGGTGCGATTCATGTAGATGACATTGGATATATTTTCAAGTAAGGACATAACAAACTGTAATGAATGAATCAACAATTCAAAATACTTTTCTCTCGACACGATTAGATCCGAAGAGTTCTCTGATTTGTATGATCAAACGATGATAAATCGAAGGTTCAATGTGAGAAATCAACAAACGATTAATGCTTGGCAATTCGTATCCGGACTTTTTACCGATTTCACCAAATACGGGTATGTAATTTCTTTTATTTATCATCAATATGAATCTATATGTTCAAGGAAAAGATAGCAATTTGGCGTTAAAATAAAATAAATATTCCTTTTGTTTAGTTCGTTGAGAAATGTGCAACAGATTAAATCGACAAAAAATGTCAAATGTGTGGATATTACCAATACCGGCTTAGGCGTGACTGCCATACCAAGGAAGACAACAATGAACGAATTGTGGCTTAAAATCAAAAGACGTGTTCAGCCAAGAATTGTTGACGAGTTTTAAACGGAATACGAAAGCAGCAACTTTGCACATATATTTTATACACAATTCTACCCTAAAAGCAGTAGTGAGAGTGTGAATATTAATGCGACTGGTAGAGATTAAGATAAGAGAATCAATAAAAAAAAGAACAAAATCAAATATTTTCCATCGAAAAACAAGATCTTTTTTGTTCATATCATACGCAACAAAAAAAAATTCATGATCTGCCGTTATCTTGAATCCATATAGAATATCTTTATTATCATAAGCTTGTTAAATTTACGCATTATTAAAATATATTTAAATATAAGTTTTCATTTTTGCAATTCATTTTATTTACTTTATATAAGATAATTAGATGAGAGATTTCATCGTTGCATCGACAGACGGTTAGAAACAAGGAGTAATGCACAAATTGCAAATATACATTGCTGGTCCATGTCGTGTAAGAAAAGTATTGGGATCGCCCCAGATTTTTTGACCCACTAAAAATCAGTTTTTTTCTTTCGATTCTTGAACGCCGAAAATTGCGAAATCTAGCATTTGTCACCTTGCTTATGCTGTTTTTATGTATTCACACAATATCTACTCTTATTTGTATCGAATAGCATTTGTGTTCACAAAACATTGGCGGTATTTGTGACAGGCTTTGTTATGCGCTAAATCCATCACGCTGAATAAATTCATGCGATAGATTTATGCGATAAATGTGATGCGCTCGCTTTGCGGAAGAGTAACAGACTTCGTTCACCGCAAAGCGAGCGGATCACATTTATCGCATAAATCTATCGCATGAATTTATTCAGCGTGATGGATTTAGCGCATAACAAAGCCTGATTTGTGAGTAAATATTGGGCATTTGCGATGAATTTGCAACTAAACTTAATAAAATAAAAACCGAATTGTATCGAATATGAAATGAATAAACATACATTACTTTTACCAATATTAGTTGCAATGAAACATGATTCCCTTTATTGCTACGAAGTTGGAAAAACTTACGTTGTTTTACGTCTCACCAATGGATATGAAGTTTTAATAAGTAGATACTGTGTCCTCGACATCATGTGTACACCAAACGTCGAGAGATTTGCAATTAAATTTGAACCCGGAAGGGGATTATTACAGAGATTAAGATGTGAGAACAACTACATTACGTTTGATAATATCATTTGAAACGATATGCGCCAGGTCGTCCGACTAGTTGAGCTGCGTGCACTTGCATTTCCTTTTATCTCAATCTTAAATACAAATGAATCGAATGTTAATGGAAGTCCTAATTGTATTTCAAGCATTTGGAAAAATTGACAGGCTGCCACTTAAAATCCAACGATTTAGTTTCGAATGTGTGTTTCAACACACATCCAAAGACCAATCGTGATAACTTGTTTTGTCCGCTTCGACCAACTGTTATAGTGCACAAATACTTGTTAATGTTACTAAAACCATACGTTGCATTATGAGCTGTCGATAATTACTATTTTCAATGCAATGATTTTTTTCTGTTTCTCTTTCATTTTTGTATGATTATGTCATCTCAATTTTAGGTAATTTTAACTAGCTCATAAAACGATAATCCAATTTCAAGCTTTTAATCGCACAATTTTCTCATTACAGCTATAATTCGATTCTTTGGTATAGTTCTCAATATTGCAACGGTATCTCTACATTTTTTTTCTGATCTCGTGCAAATTCCGCCCGAATGCTAACCCAACACTGCATGAGATGGATAAGAGATACTTAATTTGAATTTGCATCGTTAGTCTTTAGTTGTTCACTTGAAAACATGTGGTTTTTTTTCTGCTTCAATTTTGAAATTACTTTTTTATTAGGTTTTATCTCCATTTTTTCCTGCACTTTGGTTCATTCGCATCGAGAATGTGGTATACATACTCACTTGGTATATAATTGAAACATTTATTGTGTGTTATACCATGCTGCTACTGCTAGAGGAGATTGTGTTGGTCAATGGTTTTGTGTGTGTGTGTGTGTGTGTGTTGGTGTATGCATGATGAGCATATAAGCATCATTAACGACTCGTGTAATAACCATTTGGTTGTGAGTCAAACAACAGTGTTGTTTAATTTGGTCCATGGTGCCGATATGCCATCCAAATAAATACATGAAATTCAGTGATGAAAAAAATGACAAGAATGTACAATAAAAATACTAAAATACATACTGTGCACTTGTACACATAGTGACCAAAAAAAGAGGAGGACAAGGAGAAGAGGGTCTCGCAAAAGCATCTTTGTTGTTATCAGGTTCTTGTAGACTCAAAACACACATCGATGCGAGAGAGAGAGAGAGAGAGAGAGAGAGAGAGAAAAATACGGCTGTTACCAGTAAACATTATCGCATCATATCGGAAAACTATGGCAAAACATGGGATAAAAACGCGAAAATGGACATTATCATATTAATAAACAACGACAACAACAACAGCAACAAACATTTTATTATCAGTTTGATTATTGAATGCGCTCACGAAACTCAACACATATTCTGGCGAGAGTGCGAGAGCTATATATATATATATGTAATCGAAGAAACATCAAACTGGGTAATAACGAATCGAACGAAATCGCCCGTAAATGGCTGGAAAAAAAATATGACAACACACATAAACGTTTATTTCGTTCGTTCGTTCGTTCGTTCGTCCATTCGTCCACATAATCCCATAACAAACATTGATGCGTGCACACAGTGTATTGCCAATTAGACATTTCAATGATCACACATGTAATTTGATTCTTTCACACATTTCATCGGGGAACCGAACCCAAAAAGTGATTCCTCTTGCTTGAATCTTGACCGTTGCTGTTGCTTCTGCCCTGTGCTTCACCGTTTGTCTGTGTTATATCTCTCCGTTTTGCTATCTGTCTTTTTATGGTCAATTTGCACACACATGGTCACAAGGCTCCGATGTTATTACTGATTACATTTTTGTATTTATTTTATCCGAAATTTATTTGATGCGCTCAAAACAAGAAAGAGAATAAAAATACGAACACAAGCTCATACACTTTTGTAAACAGAGAAAGAATGAGTCACACTCAGTCACCGAGAAACCTAAAACCATCTCTCTCTCTCTCTTTCTCGCTTTTTTCTTCTCAATTGCAGCCATTTAACGATTGTATCGGCTCATAACGAGGTGTGAGAAATATATGGTCGCGCTGATATTACACAGGCGCGCACACCACGTAAAAAACGATGACGAGTGAAACTACGAGGAAATTTTGATTTTCTGATTGTTGGATTACGCGACCGTTTCTTCATCGACTTCTACTTATGGGCTCCATACCCGCTTGTCATCTCGTTTCCTTGTGCAGATGATGGTGTTCGGGTAGTATTTTTATCTCTTCTTCTCTCCTTTCTCTGTTTGTGTGTAATGACGTAATGACGATGCGCTTGGATGGCTTATTAAAACATTTTTTTTTATATGCGACCCATACACAGATTATGGACAATGTTACAATTGTGCGCATCCACCAGCTTGTCCCATAACGTATTGGCCATCGGACGTCGATTGTCGACAATTTCTCATGTTAACCGTGTTTTTATGTTTCGTACTCCGTGATTATGTTATTATTTGTTTATACATTTATAGTGTGTGTGTGTGCCGCTCATTTCATCGTTGTTGCAATCTTGGGCCCAGAGAATGTGACAACTTTTTCGCACATGCACTTAACGTGCGATAAACGAAGAAGGATGAGAGAGAGATGAGAAAGGGAGAAAAAAAATCGCAACATAACATCAAGTCGATAGACTTCTGTTCACCATTTCATTTATTATCATTATTATCCCGTTCGTGTTGGAGCCAGCAGCAGCCGTTCGTTTGTTCGTTATCTTTGGTACGTGTGGCATTTGGTTCGTTTGGCTTGTTAATTTTCTTGCATGCCATTTATCGAGTGTGTGAATGTGTGTGTGTTTTTGTGCGATAAAGAGCGCATAATTCAGATATTAGCCACTCTTTCAACATTGCACACCAATTAAATACTTTCCACCAATATATTAGCGCGATTGTTGATAAATCTTCCTCTCTCTCTCTCTCTCTCTCTCTCTCTCTCTCTCTCTCTCTCGTGTGTGTGTGTGTGACAATCTCGAACCACATTTGACCACATTCGCACCAGCAGACCTACTTATAGTGTCAATCGCATAGCAAAAAGAACGTTTTTCCATGTTCAATTTTTTCCTGCTTGCATTTGCCGTCCCAACGAAATATCAACTTTTCTGTGGATCTTATCACGCTATTGCCAACATCACTTCTATTCAACCGCTTAAATACCACAATTTTGTGTGCCAAAGTCGCAGTTGTAGTTTGTACCCATCATCTTGTGCACATCGGAAATTCCTACTTAAGAAACTCGTTTACGATTATTATTATTGAAATATATGTTGCTGTGTTTTTTGGATGCAAGAGCAGAAAAAAAAACGCGCAGCCTGATTGAACGTACGATATAAACGAGGAGAAAGAAAAAAAACAAGGCCTTTTTGAACTTCAATAAAAACACACATTCACATCAATCTTTTAAACATGCTTAAATTTCGATATTGGGATATGGAATAGGACAAAAAATATAGGCATTTATTGGCTTTTCTTTCTTGTCACATGAATATATAATGCGAATAGCTTTTTCTTTTAGATATGCAATCATTTGCCGCGTTTTTTCCGTTTCACTTTTCATTTTTGTTGTTGTTTTCTTTCTTCGTTGTTTTTCTTCTCTCTTTCACTCAATCTCTCTCTTTGATGCGATGAGGCATGACAATCCATTCAGAAATCAGGACAGAATATCTTTCAAATTGATAAAGCATGAAAAGAATGAAGAAAAAAAAAAACACATACAAACTTCACATCCAAACGACAACTTTGACAGACATTATTCATAGATTATCTAGGAAGATTGATTTTCCCCGCGCCGTTTGACGAAAACCATCAGGAATTTAAAAAAAGAGGAATATAATGAATCAACGGCATGTGATCATGATAATGCAATACGATTTAGTCATGTGTGAAAAATTGCCTTTGATTTCGTCGGTTCAGTGAAAATTTCCTTTTTTGATTTCATTTCAATCGCTTTATTGTTGTGTTCGTTTTCATTTGAACTCAATGACTTCTGCATAACATGAACCTTGTTAAATGCATTCTGAATTGTTTGTTGTGTTTAATAATTTAATTATTTTGTTGCAACAATTTAATTACCGAAATAATATTTTTGCCAAATATCTATTATTATATTGCATTTCACTCATGCATTTAAAGTGCGGTGAATTGTTCACAACGATTTGTTACATGAAAGACATTGATCCATGTAATTTTCATTTATACAATGGGAACATTCACAAACTTATCACCTCTAATAAACTTTCGGTCTATCCTTCGTTCTCTTTCTCTGGCTAAGACAAATAGAAACAGTTTGATGACACTGTGAGTGAACGAAGTAAAAGATGCTGCGGATGAAAACGGAGTAAAAAGGTCGGATGCAATGTCAACATTGAAGTAAATCGATTGCGAGAAAATTTAGAGAAGCAAGATGAGCGATCGATCGATAGTAAACTTATTACACAAAATTCAATACGCGTATCCGTTGCTGTTTTTTCTCTCTCTTTTTTTCTTATTTCTGTTCCAGAGGCAAATGCATGTATGGTCAAGAATAATGACTGGAGCGTTACATTCGTATGATTTTTCTATACCCCATCATACTCATATCTTCTAAATAATACCAGAAATCTACAATTTTCACATACTGAAGCAAATGTTAACCACATAGCAAACATTTTGTACCAACAAACTTTTTCTCCATCTTTCATACCTTGCGAGATGTAGCTATTTGTTCTGGAGCAGTCAGCAAACCTTGACTGATTGGTTCGATATGCTCTCACCCGCAATAACAAATCAACAAACGACGATAACTGATGACAAATGCAAAACGAAAACAATCGAACAAAGACAAAGATAGAGATAGAGACACAACGAATGGGAGCAAACAAACGAACGGAAATGTTAAATGCTGATTTCCTACTCTGTACACCTCATACCTTTTATGCTTGTTGCCGTCAATACCATGTCCCGTATACAAGAAAATGCAGCGAGACGATGATGCCGAACATGTTGCAGACAGAAGAAGAGACAGTCTACTTCTTCTGCTCAACTGGAAGAAGACTTGACTCGATAAAATTGTGTATTTGCGAGGCTGAGAGTCGAAGCAACGAGCACAAAAATGTATGGCATAAACATGAAAAACACAATGAAGGCCAATGTGAAGTGATTATATGGAATTTGGAGCAAACGAGTCTTGGGCTTTGCAAAATTCAGGGAAAATTCAATGAAATTAAATATTTTAAGTGAAGAATTTTAAATTTTATAGGTCTCAAAATCAGTCTTCTCATCGAAAACCGAATGATATTTCGAACAGATCTGACTAAATTGTCGCTTTAAATAAAATTTCATCCCAGAATTTTGAACTCATATTAAAATAAAATTACTAGCTCTTTAATCTGTTCTTTTATTTATTGAATTTTTCGTTTTGAAAATGTGTCATTTTTAGAAAAAATTCATTACAACCAAAAATCGAATGGATCTACACCGCAATTTCGTCCATAAGATTTTTTTGTACCTCTTTTGTTCAGTAGTTGTCTAGTGTGCCGAAGAACAGAAACATTCTTCGCTGGCGAAAGAAAAATGTAAAAATTCTGTTGCGAAATTACAGATAGGAACGACAAGAAGCCGAGAAAACGAGTAAATTGTTGGATGCAAGTGAAACAAAATCAAATAAAAGGATTAAAGTAAACAATATTCCGTGCATTCAATTTATATGTATTAAGTCGTTTAACTGCTGATAGCCATGTATGTGTGTGTGTATGTGTATGTGCTTGGTGAATGTTTGGATCATATTATATTTATCGAACGGCGTTTGACTTCAGCAAGATTAATGTCTTTACATTAAATTCTCTGCTGTTTCATGTTATTACTTTTCTAGTTGCTGTCGACGTTATTATTGGAATTATTGCTTTATTTCGAGTCTTGGTTTTTTTCTCCCTTCATTCTCTTCGAATCGTTAGATCCGTTTTTCTTCACTCTCTTTCTCTCTCTATCTCTGAATCTGGCTTTGTTCGTTGAGAATGTTTTTCATGTTTTTTTTTCTCCTTCTCTGGCTTCACCAGCATGAGTAGCGAGAGAAACACACGAGAAAAGAAGTAATGATAAAAATATACTATAAAGTATTTTTTTTTTTCAAAAGGTGGATAGGAGAAGCAAAAAAAATATGAGTTTCGACATATTCTTCGATATATTTTTTTGGTGTTATTTCATAGTTTTAATATTCTTTAGCGTTCAACAAGTTGAAGGGGAAAAAATTGAATTTTAAAAAATTCATGAAATGCTTTAAATGGAATTTGTGTGTTTCATCAGGCTGTATATGGTGGTGGCTTTTGTTTTTCTCAAATCAATTGAAAACTTGAAAGGAATTCATTGACTACTTTTTCGTTCTCTTCTACTTCGTCGAATGGTATTTTATTTGACTTCCGATTGATGGTGGATGCATAAACAGCATTGGCCAACGCTAAGTCAAATGGGTTTAAGCGTGTTTCGATTTTCCACATAATAATACATTAAATGCATCATTATTACTAGCTTTGACCGGGTGGCTTTTATATTTTATTCACGCCATCGTCTTGAAATAGAAACAAATGACAAACGATGAAATGGACGCTATCACGAGCCAACACACCGAGCGTCGAAATTGTTATGATTAAAGGCGTATCGCTTAAATATCTAAATGAACAATTGGTAAATGCTTTCAATCGCTTTATTTATTTCATTCATTTCTTTTGTATTCTGCCCTTTGTTTTCGAGTTCATTCCAAAACCCGTTCGTTCTACTGTGACCCATTAGGTGGATAAGGAACAAGTATCGATTGATTGGTCATTTGAATATTTCAGAAGTGAAAACTGGACATTTCTGCCGCTTTTTTCGAAATGATTGTTTCCAACCGACTCATTTTGATACAAAAGCTATAAATGCTTCCGTATTAGATGGTTTTTTTTTTCACACGAGGTGCTTTCACAATACTCCCAGAATATAACAAAAAATGGCTGCTCATGTTTTTTCTTTTACGAACAATAAACTCATTTTGATAACAATGAACCACTATGTAATCAAACAAATATTTCCCAACTCAACATTCATTTAATGTGGACATTGTTCTGTGAGTGGGTTGCTGTATTTGTCGAGAAAAGTCTTTGATCTGACGAAAAGATTGATTTCCCACTGAAACTTTTCGTTCTCACAATTTTTAAATACTTATAATTGATTCATGGTATTTGCTTCACAGCCTCAAAACACTCTAATTGTGCCCGTGTGTACGCGACAATCAAAAAAGAAGTAATAGCCGAAAACTTACCTAGCAAATGACTGAAATTATGTTCATGTATGTCCTGTAATGAAAATGAAAAAAATGGAATTTAGTTTCACTTCTAATCCGATTGGGATAGGGGCTAATTATTCTACAGCTTTACCGGAATGAAAAAAATAATAATTATCATTATTATCTCATTATTAAACGAGTTATTAAGTTATTATTATTTTTTTCTTCAATAAAACCCATTTTTCTCCAAGATTTTGTCGTCTGGCAAAAATGTATTTTGTACAGAGATTGAATATTTGCTGCTGAGTAGGCCTGATCTGAGCTGAATTTGCCATCTCAGGCGCCTGGAGCGGTATTTTAGAGCACATACGGTGCAGAATTGTCATAACTAGTTGGAATGCTCCTTAATATAATTGATAAACACATGGGCGTGACATGCAGCCACATGGGTACAGCGCCCGTGTACTTCGTAGTGGAAAAAAAGTGAAGCTTGCTTGTCACCAATATTGATGTTCACGAACATCAAATTGTTTATGCGTTATTTCGCCCACTTTATGCACTGGAAATAAAAAGTTCTTCAATTTCTAGCAAATTTCACATATGAATTCATAAACACATCGAGAAAACACAACTTTTTTTTCACATAAAAAGCATAAGCAAGATGATTTTTTCGTTGATGGTTGTTCGATCCTGGATCGTTTGTGATTCATCAACGATTTGCAACACATCCATTTTTGATTTCGATATTCCAACTGAATACGATGTTTTGTATTCATTAAACAATTCCATTTTGATCAGAAAATAATTTTTTATTGAAATGGCTGTGACGAAAAACCACGCGAACGATTGCAAACGATAGCACAAACATTAATGTCTAGGAACATCAAATTCGAATTGACATTATTGTCAAAGCGAATTCATCGGGAAACACTGACTTGAAGTTCGACACAAATGTCAAATTAATTCGCCGATGTGAAGCAACAAAACAAAATAAATAAAAATACAAGCAAACAAACATTTTGTGTTGATCTAATCTGCAAGTTTTATATTTTTCCAGAATAAAAACGGTAATTTTTTTGTATTTTATTGTTTCATTCCAAATAAAATCTCTATTGTGATTTTTAAGTATACATTTATAAAAGATATCTTCAAAAATCAACTTTGAATGTAATATAATTTGTTATTGGCGACAAACAATTAATCGAACGCATTTAATCGAACATAAAATAATTTTCAGCCTGCCGGTTTGCTGATGTTCCCCGAATCGACCGACGAAGTGCCCAGTGCCCACCACCGATGTCGAAGAAGACAAACTAATTTCCGTGATAATTTAAATTTTGCCATTCAACATTCCAATAAGGGCAAACGCAGTGTAATCGAAAAACATTTGGAAGGCATCAAGCATTGGGGCCTAAATCGACATGACAAAATCAATCAACCGTCCCATTGTATTGCGAAATCGACGCCAAAGGAAGATATTGAATGATAAAATCATTAATCTTCCGTATTTGATGTTCCTAGACATTAATGTTTGTGCTATCGTTTGCAATCGTTCGCGTGGTTTTTCGTCATAGCCATTTTAATAAAAAATTATTTTGTGATCAAAATGGAATTGTTTAATGAATACAAAACATCGTATTCAGTTGGAATATCGAAATCAAAAATGGATGTGTTGCAAATCATTAATGAATCACAAACGATCCAGGATCGAACAACCATCAACGAAAAAATCATCTTGCTTTTGCTTTTTATGTGAAAAAAAGTTGTGTTTTCTCGATGTGTTTATGAATTCATATGTGAAATTTGCTAGAAATTGAAGAACTTTTCATTTCCAGTTCATAAAATGGGCGAAATAACGCATAAACAATTTGATGTTCGTGAACATCAATATTGGTGACAAGCAAGCTTCACTTTTTTTCCACTACGAAGTACACGGGCGCTGCTTGTACGAAATTCCGTTTGTATGAAGCATGTCACGCCGATGGATAAACATCGTGCCTGTTCATCTCATGCCCACAGCAGCAAATATGCACTCTCTGATTTTGTATGAATTTTTATTTTTCAATAAGATAATCACCACATTATGAACGTTAATAAAAGCGTTGTCCTTATTAAAAATTCAATAAAAGTTGGATATTAACATTTTAATAAGATATCAACAATGTAAGGCTGTAATGTAGTCGCAATCGTCCTTAATGAGTTGAGACGTGGCGCGTTGGATTTTGCCACCGATCGATACAATATACTCTCTCGGGTGGAAAAATAAATGAATGTGACTGTGAAAATATACAATCATATTTGTAGTAATTCGAATCATTTGTTGTCTCGTTTCCATTTAATTGAATTTACGATTGAGTTGATGCACAAATATGTCAGCGACCCTTTTGCCGTGTATTTAAAAGGGCAAAATGCGCCCGCATCTTAACAGTTTATTCACTATATTGCGATAACAAACAAAAAGTTGCCGAGAAAAAGTGAATCGGGATAAGAGACTCCCAGGGAAAATGAGTGAGTATGATAGAAAGGAAAAGATGAACCAAGCAAGCGAGCAAGAGAGAGGGATGATTTAGAGAGATGAGAGAGCAAAAGATGGAATGGGGAACAGAGATGAAGAAAAAAAGAGACTGATGAGGAAGATGGTGTAAGTTGAGTTGAAGTATGCGTGTCGGCATTTCATAGCATTGCCGTTCGTTGTGCGAGTTGTGAAATATGCAAATATTTTGTACGCGTTGGCGATCCACTGAATCCATTTATTTCGCTACGAAAACGTATTGTGAACGTTTCGGTCTTAATTGTAGCTAAATAGTTAAAGTAGAAACGAGCATCTCAAAGGGCCATTATCAAAGCGAAAACCTCATCCTTATCCATCTCGTCTCCTCTTTTATTTTTCGTTGTTTTCTTTTTGTGATTTTACGATTCCGTCGACGATGCGCCCGGCTCGTTTTTATTACAAATACATCGAAAGAGAGTGGAGGAGAGAGATACTCGTACAAATAGACAGGACGTTATGTTGAATGTAATCGGCTACCAATTTTGGTTTTAATAATATCAAGAGCCGAAGGATTCGAGTGAAGTGAAGCAATATGTAAGACGGAAGCGATCGCTTTGTGCTATCTCTTGCACTCTCCGCATACACACATTCACAGAGAACGTAAAATTATTTTTCGGAATAAAATCTCTGGATGCATGCTATTTTCAAGCTCGAGTTGCTGCTATCTAACAACAATTTAGCATTTCAACTCTTTTTTCTCGACTCTGCATTCTTCCCGTTTTCATATTTCGTTTGTGCGTTTGTGTGTGTGTGTGTGTGAGTATGTTGAGTTTGTTGTTTGTGTAACGTTTTGAGTCGCATTTGCGCCAACAATATTCCTTATCATTGGCTCGTTAATGTGAACACACAATACATAAACAACAAATCTAATCAGATCGCTTTTTTCAAAACCAACGGAAACGCATTTTCTCTTTTTTGCGATTTTTCTCCTCTCCATATCTTCTCTCTAGATAGAAAAAATTTGATTTGTTTCTTCACTCCTTTGCCACTTGGTTATGAGTTAAGAATTTTCACATAACAAATCCATTCCATTGAATGGAACCATATTTGCTGGTACTTGCCATTTCTTTTCTTCAACGATGGCATTCACAAGTTTGCAACCCCATCGCTTTGTGCGATCAACGATATCTCTGTGTGTCTACGTGTTCGTTCGTTCGTTGGTTTGTTTTTTTCTACGGTAAAATGCACTTAAAGCACAAATTTAATATCCTCTTTAGCCTAATTAAGGAATATTTTGTGCAAACGAAACTGTTTCGCTTAATCTTCATTATTATTATCAAGGAATTTTTTTCTTCTCTGTTCGCGTCGTTCAGCCAACCATTGTACTCGCCATTGCTGCCAATGATCTGACTTTTACTTTCATTGTACACGTTCTTTTCTTCTTTCAATTCCATTCTCTTTGCTTTCTCTCTCTCTCTCTCTCTCGCTCCATTTCATCGCGTTGCCTTTATTCATTTTTGAATACACATTGTTAACAATACATTCGAGTAGCTTAAGAAAGGAAAGCCATAATAAATACGAGCGAATTTAGTCAAATTTAATACAACAAAACACACGCCACGAATCACAGTGGCAAAAGCCTCGTGATCTGGTGTTTTTTCCATCTACCAACGCCAAGAGGAGAAAAAGAGAGCACGGTGAAATGCTCGTTCAATGCTCGATGATGCCGTATCTTTTGACTCTTTCATCGTGTATTTATGTATTTAATTTGGGATTTTGGAATTTAAAATAAATAACATAGTTTACTGTGCGACACAAAGTACAAACTTAAGACGACCAGGTTCTTATAGCGAACGATGGGAGTAGCAAAAATATTTCAAAAGTAGTGTGTTTATGCTTCTCTTTTTTTTTTCTACTTCTCGCACCTTTTGCCAGAGATTTTCGAATTAATGAAATCTGCAGATTTCTCTACATAAATGAAGGAGCGTATCACCAAAAAGGATTTTTGGTGTTGAGTAATGCGCGAGCCAAAGTAATGCCATACACAGTAAAGTTCTCCACAGACGAAACATGAATTCATTTTGATGATGGCATTAGCTAGAACTCATTCACGCTACAAAGAATGTTGACGACACTCACCAAGATTACCAGCTTTCCGGACACTTTTCCATTCATCGAATGAAAAAAAAAAAACATAACAAGTCCCCACATCGTGAAGGGCACAAGTTATTTGCAGGCTGAGCCGTGTTTATGCCATTTATAATGAACTAACTGCAGTAGCGCACCATCGCACCGAAAGCAGTCAGCAGTCAGCAGTCAACAGTCAAGCATCGAAAATACTGATAATAACATCAACAACAAATGTATTTTATGTTCGAAACGTATTATCTGCTCTTAATACATGTACTTTAGCCGCATTGTGCAGCTTGGTAATACATATATTATCCGAGGAAAGAGCTCGGCAAACATTATACGAGTGTAGTGACTGGTGTATGTATGTATGTATCTTTGTATACTGTGTGTATGGTATTTGGTCATGCAGTCTCTCCTATTTTGGCGAGGTGATATTTTTCGTTGTT